GCCAAATGATCTCTTCATGCTCCCCGATGTGCCTTCGAGAATTTTTGCAGTGAAAAGCACTCTTCAGCCAAGTTGCCTCCATTCTCCACCTTGTCTTCCGCCTCTTCATTCCTCGCAAAACGTCTTCCCGCAGCCATTGTGTCTTTGCTTTAATATTTCACACAAGAGTGTGACAGATTTCGCCAAAATTCATCAATCCGCTCAGCGCATTCAAGAAGTTCTCCACACTTTTTCACTGAATTCTATGCGAAATTTAATAATTTCTTGCTCAATAATTGCATATAAATTCCAAAGTAATTCCCCATAAAAAAAAGAAGTCTTCGTACGTATTTTTTTGGTCTTAATGACAACAACTCCATAAAAAACACAAAAAATTCACGTAAAATAGCTAAAAAGTCGAGATATTGGCCTTTTTTCTCTTTTGTTTTAACATCTAAGCATTATCATCATCTAAATGAGTGCGTAGACAGCAAAATGTACCTTCTTTAAATTTTTTAGCGGGTGTGCGTAACATAAATAAGCAAAACTTGTCGAGGGAAAACCTCGTTTTTCCGGCAGATAGAAAAGAAATATCACTTCGGCATGTATGGGGGAAATGCATCCCCTAAAGTGCTCTACACATAGGAAAAATAATCCAACATAAAAGTTTCTTCGTTTCGGAGATATTTAGAAAAAAGTGGTAAAAAAAACCCGGTGAATTTCTTACCTAGTGGTTCACAAAAGATCATTTTTGACCAACAAGGAGTGATCTAAAACACTCACAATGTTTTACAAAGTAGTGGGTAATTTCAATAGCTAACATTTGAGCCTAATTTGAGGAAAATCCGTGGAAAATTGGGCGAGATATGAGCACATAAGTGCGGCAAAGTGGGTGAAAATAGGGGAAAATGGAAAATAGTCTAGGAAAAAAGGAAGGTACCGTTGAAAAGCTGATGACTGAAGGAATCAGAAAATCTATACTTCAAAAAAGGGCAGAAAAGTGTTGCACAGTGTTATTGAAGAAAATAGTATGATATTATTTCACGCTTTCCACTGCATTTGTCGGTTTATGTGAAAAAATAAACAATTTCCTCCAAGTCAAGTGCACAATAAAGCTTTTTCACTGGCGTGGTAAGTTGAATGTGTTTCACGTGGTGAAGAATCTGGGAAATGTCAATTTATGTGCGGGGCGGAGACCAAGAGTCAAATTTAAAATTCAAATTGCTTATTTTGGTTCTCGCGGTGAAACACATTCGCAAGAAAACAATAGGGATAATTTTGGCGGTGCCGCTCGTTGTCGTTGAGATGAAGATGAAAAAGGGAAGACTTTAATGATCTGACGCACAACAAAACCCTCTGCATTTCTTTGTCTCACGAAAGGGCTAGAAAAGGGCTTTTCTTCTACGCAAGTCTGTCTTCAATGCCATCGCCGAGAGTGTTTGTAAAATTTAAGGATTTGCACACCTGTGTTCCACGCTTTACGCACGACTTTCAGCCTCTTTCACACTGATTAAATCACCTCTTTTCCATCACCATCCACAGAATATAGTCTTTGTGGAAACAATCAACATACTCAGCGCGACACGCGAAAACACTCCTAATTCACTAAATCAGCGACATATTATGCAAATTTAATTGCCAGAGAGATGTTGAAAAATGCGCAACGCAAAATAACCCAGAATTCATGCAATGTGATATTTTGCAGTAAATTCATTGAATCGGAATTAAAAAATATTATTCGTGTGTACATTTTATCTCATTATTCTCGTGGTATAAATTAGAATTTCCAAGAATTTTGGTACATCAATTTAAGTATAGACTTTCGATGCATTTTTGGGCTTTAAAATCAAAGGTTTTCCATTTCTCTGCATTTTGTGCAAAACTGCCCCACTTTGGGGTAGTTTTTGGATAATTTTGCAGCAAATTCTGACTGCAAATCTCACTTATTCTTAGAGTTAATTTAGAAAGAAATAGCAAAGAAAGCTTTTAAGTAACTGAGGAATATTTCATGGTAAATTCTTTATTGTAGCACAGACACTTTAGCAGAGACACCTTTGATAGAAGTCATTTTCTTCAATATTTCCAAGAAGATCATGAATTAAATTTAAAAATATCAAGTAAACAGTCTTTATCCTTGCAATTTTATGCAAAATGCGCAAATAAAGTTACATTTCTCTTCGTAAAAGACGCTTTTCAAAGCTGCCCCACTTTGTAACTCTTCCAGAAAAGGCCAGAAAAGTGAGAAATTATTGAAATAGTTGAATGGATTTTGTGAGAAATGACTTGTAAATGCCGAAAAGGATCTGAAATCACGATAATTTTGAAACGCGACTCCCTAATTCATTACTTTCCCATTTTTGCCCCGCTCTCCCCTACTATTTTGATTTTTTGATTTTTCGCGTGACGCTTCTCACCAAACTTATCAGCCACAGTGGCGTAGGATGGAAATTAGGCATGCGGATATGCATATTTGTGAGCAGAAGCAACATTTTGGCGGAGTTGAAGAGATCTTCCTTCGCCGGGAAGGAAGAGCATTACTTGAGGGATTAGTTGTGCCGAAGAGCAGCCAAACCACACTCGAGAGATAGTTAAAGACGTAAGTAATGCTCCTCCTTGGTTTAGTTTAGAGAATAATCTGCACTCTCGCGTTGTCTTGCTCACATCACAACTTTCCATACACTGCGAAAGGATGACTAATTTCCATAATTACAGCCAGGAAGAATTATTACAACTGAATATTCTCATCATGAGCGCCGCTATCTTGAAGTCAGTGCGGAGAAAATTTATGCAGTTTGTTCACTGTGATGTCAGTTGTGGGATTTGTTTAATTGTGTGCAAAATAATCTAATATTAAAACTAATTCTTAGTTTGTGAATTTCAATTACTTTGCAGCGAATTGTTTCCTGTTTGAGTTTGTATTTTTATCTCCACAATTCACCAGTAAACTTGCTTCTTGAATCACTTGTTGGCTAACATTACAGCCAAGGGGCAAATCACAGGGCGGTTTTTGAGGCAATCCTAGTGGTCTCAATCAAATATTTGCGACATAATCAAAATATACATATTTTTAAAGCAAAATTTTAAATCATATTCAGATATTTTCTGGGATATTTTATTAAAATTCAAATGTAAAAAGCACTAAAATTCCGTTAAAATGAAATTTGTAAAGCAGTTGAATTTAAATATTTGCAAAAAGAATATTCTACAAAAAACACAATTTTTTGATTAAATTTGAATTTTTCATATTTTAAGGATAAAAAAAACATTAAAAAGTAGAAAAAAGTTAAAATATTTGCCATAAACGATATGTGAAGAAAATAATCACAAATATTAAATTAAACTTAAATTTTGATAAAATATTCAGAAAAAAATCAAAAAGAATTCAAAAAATTATTGAAATTTCTATGAAATAATCAAAATTTGAATTAAAAAGAATTATCGAATAATTCCAAATTGAATGGTCTGAAAGCGCGAGTGATTTTCCCCTTGATTACAGCTCTATCGCGAGAGTAAAATGCAAAAGCTCAATTCCTCATGTAGATTTCTGCGAGTGGGAAAAGTTGTGTGGAAAACTTTTCGTCTCTCACATCCCAAAATCGATGGAGAGTGTATGCAAATAAAGTGGATTTGTTGCAAAGTTACGACAAATATCTGGTGGAAAAATTGCCGACTTTGCCTCTCTCTCTCTCTCTCTCTTTCAAAATGCTATTAGCTTATTAAAGAGTCCCGGAAAGTATGCAACTTTAACGTGAATTTGTGCCACTGATCCTCCCTCTCGTTGTATATTTTTCTTATCTTCTTCGCATGCTTTACCAACTTTTGGGGGTAATAATATCCGAAAAAAAAAAGTTGTTTCCCACCCACCTCATCCATTAATGAATTTCCCCCCCATTGAAAATACACCCAACGTTTTCTGAATCCGTTTGGCAGTGAAAAGTAGAGAAAAGAAGAAGAAAAAAACTCCACCGCGAAGCTGTTTCTGAAATTAAAAAATTTCCCTGAATTCTACAATACAAGGAGATAAAATATGTTTGTGTTCTCTTTAACAAGCATCACCCGCAGGTTGTCCTCTGTTTATGCTTGCGTATGTCATTCATGAACTGCGGATTATGTTTCTCATGCAGAGACTGTATTAATTATGACAAGACTTAGTGTCTTTAATTGAAATCATTTGTTCTTTCTTCATGTCTGAAGATATTTGGCTTTTAACAAGATTTCGCTTTACCATCAATTCCTAAGGCTCAACATACAGTAAACATAAATTGAATTTATGTCCGTTCAACCAATGTTGGCCGGACACAAAGAAATACTCTGATTTGAGGGCAAAACAGAAATCTTAATATTCTTTTTCACTTTTATATTTAAATAAATCCTGTGTATTTATTCAAAATTTCAATATCTTTGAATATTTTGATTAATTTCTCCGCATTTGACCGCCAGAGGGCAGTAAAGTTACAACTTCTTGGCGTGCTTCTGGCCATGAGAGAAGCAAATTTGAGCGTGAAAATGGAGCTTCTCGCACAGAAAAGCTCGGATTCATCCTCAAAAGATGAAGTTTGATTTTCTTAAAGGCGAAATTGGCCTTTGAGCAGTTTAAAAGCGAGCTTGTGGCAAAATTTGTGACTTTTTTCTCCTTTTTGAGTGATTTTTCGCTTTGTAAAATATTTCTCATTATTTTAATTATTCAATGTATTTTTTTCTGATATAAAGAGAAGATCTGATGAATTTTCTAATTATACGCTAATGAAGAATACAAAAAAAGATCTGGAGATTGGGTTTAAAAATAGACATAATTTTCGATTTACATGTCGTCTTATTTCAGAGTTTCTTTTTCTTCATTCGATTCTGAGAAATAAATTGAGCGTGGTTTTGCACGAAAGCAAGATTTTGTGCCAACAAAACAAGGTGTAACCTTTTTTCGGCTGGAATTTGAATATTAAATAATAATTCAGGGGGCAAATTGCGCCAAGACATGAGGGAAAATTGATAATTAAATTATATCGATTCCAGTTCAATCTTACCGACTGTGGTGATTAAGGCCAGGGAATATCTGTGGGCGAAGTGGAGCAATGTGAGAATGGCTGGTTGTTTTAGGGGGGATTTTGCATATTTCAAAGGTACTCACAAGAAGCCCGAGGCGTAATCCCATCGGTACGCCTTGATCACCGGCTGCAATCCTGGCTGCTGCAGCTTCGAGGACTGCACGGCTCTCAGCAGCGTGTCCTGCAAGACATTCGCCGATCAGAGTCACGTTGCATAATCAATCCAATGGCATCACCTTGAGATTTCTCTGTGATTGAAATTATGTTTACACAATTTGCCTCGCTTGGCACACGAGCACACGGACAGATCCTCAAGAATTCAATTTGCATGTCCAAGTCGAATACAGACAGTGTTTACTCAGTCAAACATCCGAGTCTCATGGCAATATTTCATCCAAACCCCATCAGACCAATCATACACTCTTATAATCGCCCAATATTGGAGCTCATGTTCATCTCGGACGACGCCAAGGGGGAGATATTGTGGACAGAAGAGAAAATATGATGATTTGTCCTTAGAAAAGAAGCGTCTGCATGATTTTCTAGGTTATGAGTAAGAAAATAACCTCCAAAAACATCAATTCTTATTAATTGGCAGAATTTAGAATTTGGATAATTTGCATACAATAAAGATCAGACTTTAAGTATTAAAAAAAACGCCTAAAATTCTGCAAAAGTGAAACATAACCACAAAAATCTAAATCAAATTTGAAAAATGCTTATTTTAGAGTTTTCTCACCAAGTTTTTAATGAAAATTTTCAATTTTGGGCTCAAAAGGGAATTTCTACAAATGGTAAAATATAATTTAGAAAATTAAAGTATTTGAAACAATTGTTTTTTTAAGGTTATGATCGAAAAAATTGGAATTTTTACCAATTTATCACTGATTTTTTCGGTTTCTCTGCTGAAAAATAATTTTTTTACTCTTAGTTTGAGGTCCTGAATGATTTTAAGAAACATTAGAAGTGTTAGAGAGTTTGTAAAAGTATTTTAGCCACATTATCTCCCCCTTGAACGGAGCACATAACTGAAACTCTTCAATATTTCTGCAATATGGATTTTTCTTGTGTTCAAATTCATATGAAATGTGCCAAATTCAGGAGCTTCGCACTCAGAAGAATCTTTCGTCCAATTGAGTGAATTTACAAGGTTGAAATTTGTTGAAATTTCATATATAAGTGACCAAATTTCGTAGCAATTTGACTCAGCGTAACTCTTCCACTCTCGCAGTGCAACCAATTTGAGCAGCACAGCCGAATTGGCCTTCCTAAATGTCCTCCGATGTACATAATGTACGAGGGCAAATGTATGGCGAAAGCTCGGGCAAAAGTACAATATTGAAAATGTTTAACAACCATCGATTCGCTACGCCGAAAGACGAGGGTGACTCAGGAGCGAATTGGGTTGAATCGTGATTTGTGCGACTATCGATATATTCCGTATAGTAATTGCTCTCATGGCCGAAGTGGCGAATCTCTGGGTGTAATGAAAAGCAATGTCTGTGTGTGCAACATATTGGTTTTCTCCCAATTCACTCCCACTCAAGGGGGAGACACTATGCCCCAAATCTGTACACCACTTCCGGACACTTCTAAAAGGTATTTTAAGGCTTTTCTCACACTTCTTCAACTGTTTCCTACACGAATTTCTGATTTATCACAAATATAATCCAGGTTTTTCCGTCTCAAGAAGCTTAAGCTCTTCAAATGCTTAGATTTTAGATTGTAAAAATTGATTTTATTGTTCTTTGATTCGTTTATGACAAATTTGTTTCTTGATTTTCTAATTTTATGTTTTAGAAAATTTAAAAGAAAATTTTTGATCAAATTGTGAGGTTATGAATACGGCTTTAAAATCTTTCCTCACTTCATTTGAACCTTTTTACACCAGAAAATTTGTGAATATGACAAAGAACACGTTAAATTTGCCACTTTTAAGCAAAAACCGCGGAAATAACTAAGAAAAAAGACATTTTTCTAGACTAAAATAGAATTTTTGAGGTTATAATTGACTTTTCAGCTCTTTCTTACATAAAATGAAGTTATTTTGAACAGAAAAAGCACAACTTTACCAAGAAAAAAGAGAAATAATCCCAGATTAAACACAATTTTCATGATTTTGAGGATTTTTTAATCACTTCAATGTTTTAAAGCAATATAATTGATATTTTCAAACAAAATTATGTAGAAAATGCCTCAATTTGTTGAAATGGAAGGTTTTGCAGTGCAAATATTCGATATATTTTACCACTTTCAATTCCTAAACACTTCCGTGAAGTTGTACACCACTTCCAACCACAATATCTGCCCCTTGTTCCCACTATATTTCTCTTGTACACCAAAATATTTCGATTCGCACACAGGATCAAATGCTGGACTGTTTGTTGGGGTTCTTCTCTCTTGACAATTTGCTTCATGCGCGCCAAGCATTGGCGAATATTGTGCAATTGGAACATATCTGTGATGCTGTCAAAACATTCATAAATCAATAGGCAAAGTCAAAGTCAAGTGGTTTCGTGGGTATAATTCGGAGTCTTTGACATTAAATTAGTGAAGCAATTTGTATATTTAATAAATTGTCAATTAAATTTCACCTCAGAATCAACTTCAATGACAATAATATAATTGCTTTGAAGTTTCATATGTCAAACTTCAAGTGCAGAACATATATTTTTCCGCTCTGTGGAGAAAATACAGAGAAATTGGTGACTTTATGCCATGCTTTATGCTGACGACATAGCATAAGAGGACAATCGACAAGCAATTGTTGGGACGAATTCACGAGTTGTGAGGAAATGCACAAATTTTCTTACAATCCGCAATGTGTGCTTGATGATCTTCTCAATTTTTCCCCATTCACGTGAATTTCGTCCTTCGTCATCTCATAGACGAGGTGAGCTTTTGTCATCACTGTGGGTATAAAAGTTTTGTTATTGCTTAAAAGCAAAACTTTTATTTATGATTTTCTCATGTCCTTCTTTTCACGTTTATTACTCGAAGTCTTCCATCGTCCCTTTTGTTGGCTATTATTTTCATCACAACACACAGAGAAAAAAAAGAAGAGAGAAAAACCGAATGCCATGAACAAAACCCACCAACGCCAAAAACTACTCAAAACTTTATAAAGCTTTCAGACTTCCAGTGAAGAGGAAGATGTGACCACATTTAGGGATTACCTGAAAATGCTGAACTTCTTGAGCAGCAAGTCGTGTCCAATTTTCTTTATACAGAATGTTCAAGTCCTCCGTTATCGACCAAAGTCGATCCACCGTTCTGAAAGGAAATATGAAAAGAAGCGCGCTGTAATTAAATTATATCTTTTGCATTTGCCATGCTGAGATGATCATAAATATTGTGACTCTATTCACAAATAGGGCGCTTCTTCCGGGTAAAATATGACATTACATTTCATTAACATAAAATTTCTTCATCTGTCGGATGAACAATGTGAAGATTTTTCGTCGCTTCCGAGGCGCTTTATTTAAATGAAAGGTGCGTAAAAGTTTAAATAGGATAATAAATATTTATAAAATTTAGGTCGGACGAAATAAATTCTTCATATTTTCACATTTTTATACACTGAGAAAAATACACAGCAATTTTTTGCCATAATTAAGGGAAATATCTAACTTTTTGACGTTTTCCATAAAGAAATGGGCACAAATTTACCAAAGATCACAACCTTTTTATAGAAAATGTAAAAAATTCCTAAGAAAAATTGCCTTCATAGTTGGAAATAGTTTCCAACATTATTAGTAAATTTTCTGATATTATTTCTGTTCTTTTTCCTAAAAATCTAACACTCAAACCTATAAAAAAATTTATAAAAATATATTGTCTGCGGATATTGGAAAAATGCATAATTCAAGTTAATAATTACCATAAATATGGTAGAAAAGCTTTGGAAATTTATGTGAAAGCTCCGAAAGGATTCTTTACCACAGAGAAAATTCGAAGGAAGAAATCACTCGCGATTTGAGACCTTTAACTTAGTGATTATTCAAAAATTTCTTGATTATTGCGTGATTTTTATTCAAATTTTGATTTTTTTTAGACAAATTTCAGTCATTTTTTTATCATTTCGTAATTTTTTATTCAAATTTTGATTTTTTAGACAAATTTCAGTTGTTTTTTTTTTATTATTCCGTGATTTTTATTCAGATTTTAATTTTTTAGACAAATTTCAGTCGTTCTTTTTTTTATTATTTCGTGATTTTTTATTCAAATTTTAATTGTTTTGCAATTTTACTTGGGAAAATATGAATTTTTTGCTTATTTTATTCAAATAATTGAATATTTGTTTGAGACCATTTCATCAAGAATTGCCTTGTGACTTGTTCCTTTGGGAAATTCGCATAATTATGATGCAAATGAAGCACCTTTACATATTTTCTATTCTATCAGTGCATTCACCCTCTTGACTTGGGGAAAGAAAGCCATTTAGTCTTATTCCATGTTAATTCCTATGCTTTCTTGTGTAGGAATTAATTATATCGCGTGATAGCATCATTATTGCGACTCAATTTGGTTTAAATTGATATCAAAATCCAAGTGATTTGTGCAACAGTGAATTGGATTGCAGAGAGCAATTAATTGCTGTATGCGATGACGCCATAATCACGTCTCCCATTGAAATTAACCCTTGTCTCTGTCAGTTCGTATCTCTTCAGTTACAATAAATAATTGCCAGGATTGTTTTCTGTGTGTCCTTTGAGTTGACTCTATCATGGCCACACTCGTAAGCCACCCACATGACAAGAGGACAGTCTTTAGAACGAGTTCAGATATGATTTAGCGTCCAGGACGTCGCAAGGATGCCGAGGATGGCGCACAAGTCTGCCGCAATAATGAAGATGTGTCCGCCTGCAGGCGATAGTAATTAAATTGCTTGAAATTGTTTCGCTTTGTTAATGGACACAAACACTACACACGGGAAAACCTGAGCGAAGACGCCGCAGAAGAAATAATTCAGGACTCTTCATCTATTCATTGTTTCGTCCCTGCGTGAGTGTTCCCTGAAGATACACGCAATCGAGCGTCTTTTGCCATTTCATTTACTTATTGATGACGGCCTCTGGTGAAAACAGTTGACTTTTTGTGTATTTTCCACAGCACACAGAAATGATCTTCGGAGGCAGGAAGAAAATGTCTCTCTTACTTCACTTCAGCATTAAACATTCCCAAAGCAAACACCATTTCGGCGAGAGTGTGTTCTGTTTTTATTTTGTCAAGAAAGCGAGCAATGTAATCAATACACCGTCGAGAGGTGTTTGCGTTGCCTAAGTAAATGTGCTGAATATAATACGTTTCCGTACTTGTAATGCACAGAGATCAATTAGGAAAAAAAAGTCTGACTGATGGATCAATTCCTGCTAAAACTGAGGAATGTTAAACATCAAGGAATCAAAAAGGAAATTACTGATAAATTATTTCAATTTCATACTTAAAAGTTAGATCCAAAATCACAGATTGTTCGATTGAAGTTTGTTTTAAGATAACACATTTAAACGGTAGAAATTTGCTTAATTCATTTGGTGAATTTTACACACAATGTGTTAATGTTTAACACACGTGAAGTACTTTTTAGCACAAATGTTAAATTTCGAAGAGAAGCGAGATTTTTTAACACGCGTGGTGGATATTTATCACAAATGGAGAATTCTTAACACCAAGTGGTGAATTTTCAAAAACATCTGGTGAAATTTTTAACACAAATTGTGATTGTTTAGCACGCGTGACGGAGTTTTTAAGCATAAATGCAGAATTTTAAACATTTGTGGGAAATTTTCGAATACTTATGGTGAAATATTTAACACAAGTGGTGAATTTTTTAACACAACCGCCATTTTAAGCCTAACATGTGTAACTCAGAATAGCAAAGACAATTTTTAAAGCTGTTATTTTTCAAACATTTCTTGCTGGAGCGTGAATTAATCTGTATTTAAAACTCCTGTTACACACCTTTAACATTCCTCAGTTTGAGTGGGAATTGATCCATGAGTTTAGGTACAGTTTGCGTAATCGCCTTTGGTCGCTTATCCTCAACTTAGGGAGCTTTTTCCTCTCTTTTCTTTTCACTCAATTTCCCCTTTCTTGCGCTCCCCTCGAGGAGAAAAAACACTTGGATGTATGTGCATATATAGGAGCGATTTGGAGAGCACAAAAGTGGTCACCATGACCTTGTCCGTGGACCATCGCCTGTGGCAACAGCACTACTAAGGCTACATCAATCTATCCGTGTTTATTTATATACGAATTGGATGCGGGATGAATTTCAATTTTGTAAAGAGCCTCTCCATTGAGCCGAGCCGCAGCTTAATGCTCAACCCCCAAACAACACAGTCCATAATCTACATGGCACAATAGTTTGCTGAATATTGCAGTGGGACGAGGGGGAGGTTCTCGTGCAGTTCACAACGGGAGCAACTATGTGAGTAGCAAGTGGAGGGAAGAAGCAGAAAATACCACTAACACCCTTTTATGGGGGTTGCCAAGAGGACGACGGATGGCGAAGAATACAATCAGGGGAAACACAATAGTTTCATTATTGCACTGGATGGTAAGTGCGGCGTGTGTGTATTACAGCAAAAACAGCACAAGTTGATCAGTGAAATGGTTATACAGTTCGCCTTTCTCGTAAAGTTAACTTTTCTTTCTCCGCCACCTCCATTTGCACCAATTTCTACATATATGCACACCCAAGGGGGAGATAATACAGTCAGAAGTACTTAAGGAGTGGAAGTGTTGAAAAACCCTTCAATATTCCTTTCCTGCGTGCTTCTTTTACTGACAAATCATCCAGATTCTCAAAATTTCCTTCGATTTTCATTTAAAAACAAACATAAAATCCCTTTTTCTAGGTTATGTAGAGAATCAAGGAGAGATTTAGTGAATAATTCTCATTGTAGCACATCAATTCTTGTACTCAAGATCAATTGAGCATTTGCAAGCAATTAACAGTGCTTTTTTGATTCTTTGATGCCAAGAAATATTCCAAATTGCGCTAAGATTGAACATAACCTCAAAACTACGCGTTTGAACTTGGAAAATGACCATTTAGACAACTTTCTGGACAATTTTGACTGTGAATCAGCAATTTTAAGATCATTTTCACATCATAAAAGATGATTTTGTGATCTAGTAAACTTCCAAACGGAGTTTTTGAAGATCTTTTAGTGATATTTTTGAGGTTATGGTCGGAAAGAAGTCCAAAAATAGCGATTTTGAGTCGATTCTTTTAGAAATATCGAATGGAAACTTAAGAGATTCATTATAATCGGGGAATTCTGAGAATAATCTGGGAAGTTTCAGGCAAATTTGGAAGTGTTTGGCATATTATCTCCCCCTTGTGCAAAGCTCCACAGGCCCATATGTATAGCCAGTGGAGTAAAAGTTCGCTTTTTCCGCCTCCTCACGGCTCTCTTTTCTCCCATTGTCCAAACAGATATACACCCCAGTTATTTACTTATAAATGAGAGGCAAACAATGAATTTTCATCTCTTTTTTCGGACCCAAAAGAAGAACAGGAGAAGAAAAAACATGAAAGTTTATAGTAACAACAAGGAAATAGATTCTCATTTCATATCGACAAAACAGACAAAGATAATGATGGCTATTCACTGATTCTATTTGGCATTCTTAACTCGCAAAGTATCACGTTAATCTCATCCACATGCTTCTGCTTAAGAATAAGACTCCATTGCTGTAATCTACGCGGAAAATTGCAGTCGTGAGGAGCTTGAAAATGGCATTTTCGAGGTGCAGAATTTTATGTAATTTGTTATTTTTATGACTTTTATGCTAATTTGACTTCCATCAATTCCAAAGACCACCCAACTGGCACTCATTCTTATGTACTGTGGCGCTTTTAAGGGGGGATGGGAAGAAAACGACGAGGAAATGCACATGAATTATCTTACAAATCGTGGTGTTAATAAGAAAATCTCTGCACCGACATCAATGTAAACTGCCTCCGCTTGCAGCTCCTGCAACTGCGCCCATTTTTTATTGCACCAAAGGAGCATTTGCCTTCAATTTAATGCATGAAATATCCTTGGAGAGATTGCACAACGTTGGCAAGTGGCAACCACAATTTGATATTTGGCGAGAGTTGCTCAGAATTAATGATGACAAGAATGAATGATTCAACCTATTCTAAAGACTTTAAATCCTGTTTGCAAAAGAAACTATCATTTAAGGCTATTCTCCATTATTATCCCCAAGGGGTAAACATGTGCCACTCTGAGTGAACTCGGATTGCGAAGATTGTGTGATTGTGCCAAAAGATTGCGGATTGCGCCTAAAGATTGCGGATTGCGCGCAAAGATTGCGATTTTACACTAAGGATTGCGGATTGCGCCAAAAGATTGTGGATTGCGCCCAAAGATTGCGGATTGCGCCCAAAGATTGCGATTTTACACTAGGGATTGCGGATTGCGTTTGGGATTGCGAAGATTGCGTTCTGAGTGAACCGTGATTGCGCCACATGTTTACCCCTTGATTATCCCTTTTGGCAATGCTCTCGAAACTCAGGAGAAAAGTCAATTCTTGAGCAATTTTCATGAATATTTATTTGCTATATTTAGATTTTGGATACAAAATATTCCAAAAATAATTTTTTTGCAGCAGTTTTAACTTTAAATACTTCTTTTCTTTTGGTGTGAAGTTAAGATGCGAAGCTAACAAAAAGATGAAAGAAAAATTCTTAATATTATTCCCAAAACTTTGGACTCTATGGACTCAAAAACGTCAAAACGAGGTTATTTTTGGGTTATTCGGCATGAAAACTAATCGAAATTTAACTTTAATCTAACTTTTAACCATTTTGGATATCGACGGGTGAATGGAAAACTATGAAAAGTCGATTTATCATAGTTTTCGTCTTATGTATTTTTGAAAAGCCTTTTATTTGTTCTTTCTGTACAAGAATTTTAAGATTTGTATTTTATGAGACAATAGAAAAAAATCTTATTTATCTAAAAAGCACAAATGGAAAAAAATTGTCATGTTTTGCGAATGAAAAGTCGAATTTTCATTGTTTACGCTGAAGAATTTTCCCATAAGAAAAATGTCTCAAAAATTGCAGTCAAATGCATAAAAACGTCTTTTTAGAAAATATTTGTAGATTTTCAGAATTATCCTAAAATGTTTTTTTGGACTTTAAATGAATATTTCTCATATTTTTTAAATTTTTGCACTTGAAAACATTAAGAAAAAGTTCAAGTAAAGTATGAAAAGTTGATTTTTTGTATAAAATCGACGCAAAAACCATTAAAAATCGACTTTGAAAAGTAATATTTTCAGATTTTCTATTAATTTTGCCACATTTTAGTCAAAAAATTTCAATAAATACCAATAAAACATTTACAAAATAAAAAATACAGAGAAATATTTTCACTTTAACGAACGATTTGAAGGCATTTTGAGTGTTTTGAAGTAAATTTGACAAATTTCGCAGCTGTTTTAATGCAAAATTTTGAACTCGCTTTGCTGAAAAATGGCGATTTTGACTTTTTATAGTTTTCGAGGCACCCGTCGATATTTAATCTCACATTTGTGTCTCTCTTTGTGGTTAAAGCGCTGAATTCTTAGGACAAATTGATTTAAAAATATTGACGAAAATTTGAAATAATAAATAACTTCTTGATTATATTTAAATTTCTAATCTAATTATACAATCGAAACTTCTGCATGCCTTTAAACTGTTGCCCTCTGGCGGCAACATGTGGCAAAAATAATCTACATTCAAATATTTAAATAAACATGACAAATATCCGAGAAATTATTGTATTTAGAGGCACAAAATGCGAACAATAGATTATTTTTTTATGAACGCACAACAACAAGGGTCATATTTGTGTGTAATTTCAGCAAATAATACATATTTCTAATTCTCATTAAAATATTTTCCTTTCAACAGATATATAAACAACATTTATGGTGCTTGCTTTTGGCCTTTTTTCTCCTCCTCATTCTGAATCGCCAGAAAAAAAACAGTGGGTAAATATTATAATTATGGGAAACCCTGTGTGTGTGTGTGTGTGTGGTGGAAAAACAGCACGGATGAAAATTTCGGAATATTAAATTGGGGTTATGTTTAATTTGAAATTGTAGCACGAAAGAGCTTATTTCTCTATCCCTCGAGAAAAATTACACTTCATCAACGCTAATAAATTGGAGTGCTGTAGCTTGTATGTAAAATACACCGTCCGTAACTTGCAGAAATGAAAAAGGATTCACAGCCACTCTCACTGTGCTTCAGCGAAAAGGTATGGCTATATATATATGTATGTAGCACGGTGGAGTCATTTGAAGGAAGCACAACAAATACAGCCCAGAGTTGAAATGGGAGGAAAGCTTTTTAGCGCGGACTGACAGAAATTATCCTGGGCGTGAGAGAGAGAGAGAAAGAGGACGAATAAGAAGGAGATTCCGAGGACTATATAGTAAATTTTCGTGTTAAACACTGTGGAGAAAATTAAGCCAATAATCGTTTATTTTAGTTATACTCAGGATCATCGTGCAGAGTGAATATTTGACAATGAGAGGGGGAGAGAAAGGAGGTTGCAAGGATGGCTTGTGGTCGAGGTGGTTTTCCTGCCAGGCTTTAGTTACCTCTGGCTTCTTTAACTTTGGGCCTCGACAGAGACACAGGACGACATTTATCAGCACTACTATCCTCACATGCGCTCAAATGTGTGTATTTACTAAATATTTACACCCTCTGCGTCAGTCGCCCATTGAGGAATCCCTGTTGTGGCCCAGATACTATTGAGGAACAACACATTTTCCTCATCATAACTTTAAATGATGCTCCAAATTCATGGCATTTCCACTCGAAACTCCTCCCCAACTGGAGGTATCCATGAATTCCATACCACAATAAAATTAATTTTACAGGCTTCTTTTTCGCCCAAATGAGCACTGTTTCCTGCCTATTCTCTATTTCAGTGGCAAAACACTCAACCTTGTAGCATTGATATTAGAGCAAATTGTATGTTTGATGGTGCGAAAGGCCTGAACAGCCATACAAAGAAAGCATGAATCCAATTAGGGCGCAAATCTATGATAATTAACATGTTGAGGATCCACTCAAGGGGTGTAATTGAATTTACAAAGACACAGCGTGCTAAATACTTGAGAAATTTCCCATTGAAAATCTGTGATATTGTATTTTGCATTAAACAATAAATAATTTTTTTCCAATTGCAGCAAGACAATCTCTTCTTCAATCCACGTTAGTCCTGAAAATATAGCTCAAGACGTCTGTTCTCTTGCATAACTTATGCATTAATAAGCTGAACGGGAATTGTTGGAAAGTAATTTCTATGGAATTCTCAGGGTTTCTTCCAATGAATTTCCAAGAGAGAATTTCTATGCAGAATTTTCTTCAAAGAACGAGAAGTTCAGAATGCACGCATAATTCAATTTTTCTGAGCACTTGTAAGTATTTAGAGCATTTCAACCAGCAAAATGGAAAACTTGACTCACCTGGAGCGAATTTCTGAATTCACCAAATCAGTTCTTGGATATGGTTTTGATGCTGCAACAGATGTTTCTTCTGCATTCCCAGAATCGTATGTTTCCAGTGTTACAAATAAAACTGAGCCAAATGTTGTGTACGCCAATACGAGAATTAAAGCACCTGGAGAAATGAAAACAAGTTAATTTACTCAACATGAAACACTTCAATTGATTGGAATTATGCAAGAATTACTCTATTTTACAGCGTCTTTTTACGGTGGTTTTTGACAAAAATGACACAAATTCACACCTTTTTTTCCACTTCTGACGCGATTTTTTGTGTAATTCGCGGGAAAAGTGCGAAACACAACCTCCAAATTGTCTTTACACACTTCAGACGTTTCTCTAATTGGAATTTTTGCCACTGTTTTGCCAAATTTAACTGAATTGATTGGATTTTCGCTCAATAATCCTCATTTGTGACTTTGCTTATTCAAACAGCGCTAAAGTCAGCAATTTCCGGGAAATTCGTGCCGTTCCTTGACAATTATTCTCCATTTCATTGAATAAGACTGCAAAAGACACCAAAATTGCACTGTTGTTTGACTAAAGACAACAAATTGTTAAGTAGATGAGTTCAATTTCTGTATTCTTTCCACAAAATGGGGCAATTTTTGGCATTATTCCATTGCATGAAGCGAGATTGTAAATTAATTAGGGGGAAATAAAATGTTCACAAAATAGTTTAGCCTGTGATCACATGAGCTGAAGGAGCACAAACTAAGCACGCATATGCTGTGATTAAATATCCTGTTTCAGCAGGTAAACATGATGCATGTGCAGTTTGGTAAATGTTTAATCAAACTTTTCCATGCAATTTTCCATCGCGCCACTCTGACTTTGGCAATGAAGGGTCGCTTTTTCCATTAGTGTGCCGAAATTTAATTATAATTTTAAAGTTTAAATAATATTGCAATACATCCACAGCAATTATATGAGAAAATACACGCACAAAAGTATGTGAATAAACTGATGTGGAGCAAATTGCAGAATTGCTAGAGGAATTTCGCAACACATGTAATTGAGCGCGGCGAGCGGCAAGTTTAAATTAATTTGCAGAATTTGCCATCCAACTCACCAATAGCTGCCAACATTGGCGATCGCCTCTTGGAAGATCTGCCGCAGAGGCCGGACTTTTCCGCCGACTTCTGCTGCTTGGGCGATGGAAAGCACAGCGACGGACTTCGAGGACTTGGTGGTGAGCCAACGAAGGCTGGCGGTGGTCTATTATTCATTTTCCCTTTATCTGTAACAATAAAGTGAGGCGAAAGTTTAACAATTAAACCTCCAACTTTTTTTTTCTGCCTCTCATCCATGCCCGAAGGCTGACGGTGGCGGCTGAGAGACACCGACAATGACGAAGGAGTTCTGTGAATGGGTGCTTTTTTCCTATTCTCTCCACCCCCTCCCACGCCCCGCCCACCCCGGGCGCAATGTTTATATTAGAGAAAAGTTGTGATGTGGATCATATGGTGAAGTATAAAAATATTGTACTTGTGTTTTGTGCGGCAGCTTTTCAGATTCCCGCACCAACTATATATTGTTTATTTATTTACTTTCTTCCCAGCCATCGAGGAGAAACACACCCCAATGCTTCTGGGGGGGCACGAGGGGTGATTGTGCAAAAAGCAGAAGGTGAATAAATGGCAAGAACGTGAGGGAAATTCCTCCGGATCTGTTGCCACTGAAATCGTGATCTTTCTCCCATATTTACTCTCTCTCTCACTCTCTCTTGTCGCAAAATGAGGCGATGTTATTAGACATTCTCCATGTGTCGAGTGTAGAATTGAAATCACAACTTGACATTTGAATAAAACCCGAAGAAAATTCATAAGATTTCAAGTGACAGGCATTCGAAACCACATGCGAAGCTTTTTCTCAGCTTTCCAATATTGCTCAGCGTCAGACAATTATTTTGTTTGATTCTCAAATCCAAAGGGGGAGATAATATACTCAAAAGTGTTTATAAACGTGCAATATTCCTTTCCTGAGTGCTTCTTTTACTCACAAATTGTCCAGATTCTTTGAATTCCCCTCGATTTTTACACAGAAATAATCACAATAATTATTTTCTAGGTTATGTAACAAATTACGCACAGATTTGGTGAATAAATCGCATATTGATATTTAAATTCTTATGCTCATGTCGGAGCTTAAATATAATATTGCTTTCTGAACCTTTAATGCCAAGAAACACTGTAAACTATAATTGGACTCGAACATAACCTTAAAACTAGGCGTTAGGACTTGAAAAATGTTCATTTAGACAATTTTCTGCATGATTTTGACTCTAAATCAGCACCAATCAGATGATTTTGTGACCTAGAAAGCTTTCAAACAAAGTTTTTGAAGATTTTTCAGTGATATTTTGAGGTTATGGACGGAAAAATGTCTGAAAAAGCATTTTTAAATGAATTCTTGCAGAAATATCGAATGGAAACTTAAGAAACATTCTAAAAACTTCAAGTTCTAGAAGTGTCAGGCGAATATGGAAGTGTTTGGAAGTGGTGTACAGATTTAAGGCATATTATCTCCCCCTTGGTTCAAACCTCAAATAAAAATACGCCAATAATGGAGCGATTTCCACGCAAACAAGGAATGTTGAGAATGTGTTATATTTCGTCCTTCGGAAAGGAAGCCGATTGGAGATTGATCAGAATGAATTTAATTGATCGTCAAAGAGCTTTTGAAGCTCATTTTCATGTCTTGTGCTCTTTGACATGATCGACCACAGCAATGAGAAGCATTTTGGGCACAAGACTGAAGGAATTCTCCTCGTTCTTCATTTGCGACTTGAGGAGTTGATGATTTCAAACACATCCTTTTGTTATGCCAGATGATGCCACACAATCAGAGCTCAGAGAGAAGACAAGCGGAGAAGAATTCCCACCCAAAGAAGACTCCCATTGTCATCATCTTAAGTGTCCCTTCGTCGGGCCACGGACGAAAATGTGCTTCGTTCTCTGTATCTGCATAAATGCGGCCCGATGGTGCTCGTGTGACAAGTATTAATGAAAACTTTCAGCCCAGAAGATGAATTAAGGCCTTTAAAGTACAACTTGTAGCTGAAACTTTGCTAATTTATGCAATTTAATGAACATTTATAGGGATAGTTGAGCACCATTCAAGCATCGAGAATGCACACACAAAAGATGGTTTTGCGTCGTCAAAAAGCAGTTGCTAATTGAAATGTAGAATATAAAATTGCAATATAATTAAAATATTCAACTTTGTGAAGCTCGAGAAAGCAACACAAACACTGCAAATGCTTTTTGCCACTTTTAATTAGCTTGAATCAAGGGGACAATCACTCGCCAGTTGAGACCATTAACTTTGTGATTATTGAATCATTTTTTTCTCTTTAATATCTGTGATTATTACTCAAATTTTGATTATTTCATACAAAATTCTGATTTTTTTAAAAATTATTTTCGGAATACTTGATTAAAAATTTAATATTTCATTCAAAATTTGATTATTTTTAAAATTTTATTTTGGAAAATAATCATTTTTTTATTATTTAATTCAAAATTAAATGATTTTGTAATTTTACTTGGAAAAATAATCTTTTTTTATTATTCAATTCAGAATTTGAATATTTTTCAATCTTACTTGGGAAAATAATCATTTTTTCGTTTTTTTTATTCAGAATTTGATTATCTTTACTATTTTGTAATTTTACTTGGAAAAATAATCATTTTTTGACTGTTTCATTCAAAATTTGATTATTTTTCAATTTTATTCGGGAAAATAATCATTTTCTGATTATTTTACTCAAATTAATTGATTATTTAATTAGAGAACATTAAGTTTTCTCAGAAATCGCCTTGTGATTTGCCCCTTGGCTTGAATTGTCCCATTTTTTGCCTTCGGACGCTTTTGAGATACAAAAAAAAAATTGAGAAAATTAGTTTGCAAAAGCAACAGATTTGTTATGGAAAATAATAGTGAAATAAATTTTCATCGTGAAGTCTTAATAAATCCTCACAACAGAGGAGAAATAAATTTCTGTATCAGCTCGAGAAAAATTTATGTGAATAAACTCGGATATTAAAACTAAAATTCAAGCAACTTCTTTCATTATGGCAATAAATATTCCATATATAAATTATTCCTTGTTTGTGAATTATGACTTCCCGCTTAAGTCTGTACAACTTCTGTGCTTTATGTTCTTCTTCTCAACTTGTTCCGCACCTTCCTTTCACCTATGCCAGAGGTAAATTGAAAATGTTTCGCTATTATTGCAATATATACTTTTATATTGTTTTTCGCACTTTAATTGACGTTATTAAAATAAGATTATAAAGTCCTCTTTGTGTCTTTGCTGGAAGATACAAAAGCATCCTTTTCCTCTCACACAGTCTCTAATTTGCCCACTCTTATGGCGAAGTACATAAATATAAGGCATCAGCGTGGTTATTTAATTTTTACTTCCCGCCCAAATTGCTTCCCCTTTCGCCGAGGGAAAAATGAGGCGAAGAAGCTCAAAGTGGCTGCGGGAAACCACATAATTTTACACCTCATGAACTTTCCTCAATTTGAAAGTGTAACCCTTGCTCCGCCTCGATTGTCGAATTGAATATCCTAAATTAGGGGGTATTTATTGAAATTTGATACACTTTCTGAAGCCTCGAGGTCGGAGTTGAACATTTCGACTATATGTACGGATAAGAGAGAGCTTTTATTGCTGCGCACGGATGAACTATTTCGAGGCCAGAATCTGTGAGCTCTTAAACATTTTACTTCGGATGCATAAAAAGTTATTTACTATGATTTTTAAGAGCGATTCTCACTCAAACTGAGGAATGTAAAAACATTCAAACATCCTGAAGTTTAACATTCCAAATGAATAAGCAAAGTTACTCTTGATATTCTCGTTAAAAACACTGTAAAAGTGTTTAAAGCAATTCCATATTGTATAAGAAATTTGCCAGAATTATTAAAATACAAGAAAATAATTAGTAAATTCCCTATTTTTCATGTTTTATGCCTGAAAATTTAAGACACAGTTAAACAATCTCAGGAGGATATTTTAAAATAACACAATAACAAATAAATAAACAACTTTGGTGAAATTTCAATGGATTTTCATTTGCATTTGCCTGATTTTCGAAGAATTTTGTCGAGATTCTAAAGGTTTTCTTCTTGGAATCTGAATTTCTCTCTAAATGCCAAATAATTGCTCTAATAAATGAAGAAAGAAGCATTCAAGTTTGAAAAATTGTAATTATTCAAACAAAACTATCTCCCCCTTGGATTTTAGTTCAAAAATTTCCAGCGGAAGAATCTAAATTACTCAAAATCCAGTTTACTGGAACACACACAAATCTTCCGCCTTCGCAGAAAGCACAAGAATGCGAACTTTTATCATATCTATGTACGTTTTCATGGGCGAAAGGGTAAGTTTTTGAATGATAAAAACTCGACTGGGGGTGAAAAACTTTCAACCCTCCCTTCCCACCCACACACACACACACACACATAATCTGAAATACATGTATAACTAATATCTAACAATCACTGGGTGGAAAATGTCACAGAAAACTTTTCCCACAATCCTCAGCATCACGTATTATTTCCCAAATATCCGCCTAACCCCGCGTAAACACGGAGTTTTCACGCTTTCCACCCCCTTTCGTGTGCGCGCCTGTGTCACAATAATAAACAAAAATTTGAATATATGCAATGTGACGTAAAAATTTATCTTATAAATTTTACACGAGACTTGAAAATTCCTCCCGCCTGCGTGTGTGTGAAAATGAAGTGTGCGAAGCGCGGGGGTGGAAATTGCGCGGGGTTGGTTATGAATTTTTGTAATGTTTGCGCGCGTTTTCATACATTCAACAATTGCACCGCGAAATCGTCGCAGTTGCGCGAATATTGGCAAATCGGCAGTGACATCACGAACAAAGCCTCTCGGCGCGCCGACAAAAAAGGACTTCGCGGCGAAGGATCATTTTATTCGTATGATAAATAGTGAGTGCTGAATGTTTGCGATCCGTGTGCTGAACTTTTATTGAAATTACACACAGCATTCAACATATTCTTGTGGCATCACAGTCCTAACGGATATGTTCGCAGCGAATATTCCATAGAGCGAAGGTAAATAACATATCTAGTCAATTGGAAAATATTTGAGTTTGGTTTTTCTACATGTCAAGCACAGCAGATTGAATTGGAAACGTGACTGTGGATGCCGGCGTGAGTAATATCTGCGCCACAACGGAGACAGTTT